TCCATCATTTGAAGGGAGTTGATATTGATATGATGTGAGAATTGAGCATGGCTCTTCTTTGAGAAACCCTAAAGTAATCTTCGGTGCTAGATGATCTTGTTGAGTGATCTCTGAGTGATTCTAACTTTATCCAATCCGCCACCACATACCTTCCGCGAGTTGATCCTCATCATCGAATGAACTCTGGTAGCGACAACGTCAACCAAGAGCATGATCACCTTGATGTGATCCTCGAAGACCTAGGACTTCACCAAATTGAAGAACACATGGAGTGTTGTGAAGCACTTCATCAAGAGATGGAGATCCCTTTTGATTATGATTGATGCAAGCAATGCGGTCTTGGAGTTACAGATTCATATGGAATATTCAGGAAGTGGTGTTACAGTGTTCCACCAATATATGATGAAGAACAAGAAGATCATGAAGGACTTGATCAAGAGGATGGTTGTCATGATGCTACCACCCATGATTTTTATGGTCATCTTGTTGCTCGTCATGATCTTGCTCTTTTTATGCTACTCCTTTCCTAGTTGTTAGTCATGATGCTGATGGTTCGCATCAAAGGGAGAACTTTTTTATTATGATTGATGCAATCAGTGTGGTCAAAATTATTGATTCATATGGTTCGTTCAAGCGATGGTGCTATTGCATTCCATCAGTTTATGATGAAGAACTAGATGATCTCTCAAGTGAAGCATATACAATTCAGAACATGGTGACCTTGGTGTCTATGCTTGATTCTTGTTATGCTGTTTAAGGAATTATATATCAAGTTGATGGCTTTTATTAGTTGATTCTTTGATTGCAGATGGTACAACTTGTGATCATGGTCCTATTGTACCTATCTTGCAGCGATAAATGTTTCTATCATGGAGCCACGATTGTGCAAGAATTGAGTACAAGGCAAGAAAGAAAAGAAATGAGAAAGGTGATTGGAATGAACTTGCAAAAATCCCAAGATGGTGTTGTCATGCAACAATATTAGTTGGGTTACACCACTGTTGGTATTTCTTAATGCAAACAGAAATAATCCATAAGCGCATAGAATTACCGTTGTAGCATTTCACCCGAAAGTATTCAGGGTGTCATATTTTCCACAGGGAACGGAGGTACTCTTCTAGCTAATTCGTCTAAGGACAACACAAGGTAGAGTTGGCAAAGGTAGAGATGGATTCCTATGGTTTTAGGGTCTATGGATACGTAAACTCTACTTCTAGCTGCTTACTTCGGACACCGGAGATCACCTGGTCTGCCATGCTATGCCGGCCTATAGCTCTACGCCATGCCCAGACGTGGGGGATTACAAGGGATGGACAGGGCTGTCACCACCTGCCGCTTACCCCTCAACCGTAGAGCACGTGGCAAACGAAGGTAGCCTCTAGCCTAGACACCACACCACGTCTACGCTATCGACTACTACTCTAGCGTTGTACAGGGTGATCCGTCTTTATCGGGAGCCCTCTACTAGAGTATATGTTACCTGAACGTACGATGAACCCACAAGCAAATAAGAGTAAAGCTTAGCTAAACAAAAGACTTAATACCATAAGAAACACGAACACTCATTTAGCAGAAGAACCCGTGGAGGTACAAGTGTTCGTCGAGGTACAAGATGGGGAGACACCGTCAAGTCCGGCGCTTCCCCGATCTCTCCCTCACATCTCTCTCTACTACACAACTCTAGATAGCTATGGCCTAAGCCTTGGAGTGTTTCTCTTGCTTCTTGCTCTCTTCCTTGAGGTCTTGTTCATGAGGAGGAGAGAGCCTCCTTTTATAGGTGGAGAGGAGGGGGTCATTTGAAAATGCTTCATCCCCTCATGGAAGGCACCAAACCGCCTATCTACGCATTTAAGTTACCGCCTTCACCCATGCAACCATCAATGGAGAGGCGACATGAGGAATCCCACCAAAGATGGGCCCGAGACACGCCAGACAAGGTGTGGGTGCGGCCGCACCCCAATTGGACTCGGATGACCCCATCTTTGGTGAGTTGCCTTCCTTGGGCCTCCAGATAGGTCTTGCAGAGTTTTGCGCCATTTGGAGTTGATTTGATATGGGTTTTGGCCCTTTTTCTCCACCAGATTGGGCCCTAATTTGCCTGGTAAGTGGGCCTTCTCCCCTTGGGCTCATGTTGGGTGATGTTACGCCTTGTTCTTTGTGTACTTTTGACATGTTTCTTGTGTTATCCCGACATGTCCTCCTGCAATTGATGAATCACCAAAACTCATGGAACTTTGTTAGTTATGAGCCATATTTCTAAGTTTAGTGTTCATTTGGGTGGATTTTATATAAATGTTGGCGGTAAAAAGTGTGAGTTAAGGACCGCCAACAACCACCAATATATTATGTGTAAAGGATCTTACCATAACAGGACTCATAACTTAAGAAACCATGGCCTCAATATCACCATGGTTCCAATTCATACAAACTCGAGGACGAGTTCATTTTTCAACAGGGGGAGGATGATAAGGCCATGGAAAGCATGCAAAATTACTCCTATATTTCATGGCTTGCTAGTATTAATATTTAGGCCCGTCTCAATGGTGGGTTTTATGTTCCAGTTTCCAAGACTCAATGTGTTGGAAACAGTGTAGATGAGTTTCATCCTTATGAAACTCATTTCATCCCGTGAAACTTTTATTATCTCTCTCTTCATTTATTCCATGCCATGTCATCTTATTTAATGACATGGAACTTTTATGAAACTTCCATTGAGACTGGCCTTATGGTTCAGCATTCATTTGCTATATCTTATTAGAAAGATATATGAGTCTATTTTCCAATGCAACAAACGGTCCATCTTTTGGACTTCCGGCTAAGAGTTATGTCTATTTTTGTGGAGGCCGCACAGGTTGTTGGTGGTTGTGCGAGAAAGAAAGAAGACTCTTCACTTTCTCCACCAAGATGATCTATGTTGTTACACTATACACATATGTTATATAATATTATAGCACATATGTTGTAAATCATTGCAAAGCATGTCATGTCATTTAATTCAATGCATTGTACTCATCTCGCGTCATGAATTCAATAGGTGACAAGATCTCCGAGGAGGCCCAAACACTCGACGTGATCGACGAGCCACCAACCTAACCATCACAAGGAAGGCACCTAAGCATTTCTAATTTTTTGCAGATTGCATAAATGTGCCTAAAGCACTAGTGAGAGGGAGGTCTGGCCTCAGTCACTCAGGAATCCCATGCAAGGCCGAGGATCTAGAAGCAATCGCCATATACTCTCAATCTATACTCATTTTGAGCTCAAATGGCGTTTAAATCATGAAAACATCAAATTTCTCTATTTCTAAACCATGAAATGAGCTATATATACTCTAGCAATGAAAGGTGGATACTAGTTTTGATCAACTACTATAAGCTTCCTTCATCTACATACGCAAACTATCAAGTGAGTTTGAGCTCAAATGGCGTATAAATAAAAAAAAATCCACCATTATTCACAATCTAAAAAACCATAAATTTCTCTATTTCTAAACCACAAAATGATCTATACTAGCATTAAACACAGGAGAGGACGAAGGTGCTAACCTTTAAAATCCAAGAATAAATGATGGAGGAAGTCTTCACAAATCCTGCAAGCACGAACTCCTTCCACAAGCAAGAACATAATCCAAGTAGAGAGCGAGCTTCAAAAGGCTCAGGCTGTCCCGGTAGGTGGTCCCAACCGGAAATAGAGGTCATCTTCTAGTTCTGATTGGAGCAATAAACCGAGATCGAAGGTTTAGTCCCGGTTGGTGATTTCTAACTGGGACTAGAAGGTGACTATATTAGTCACGGTTGGAGCCACTAACCAAGACTAGAGGTCCCCTCCTGCAAAAGCCTGCGCAAGCCTGCACCGACGATCCCGAGGAAAGTGCCATATTTAGTATATCCTTTATAGCTTTTTGTAGCACTTGGAGGCTGCCACTAAATGTATCAGGCCATATTTGGTACAAATAGAGGAAAAACCGATCAGAGTAAGCTGGTCAGACAAATTTATATATTTAAGTATAAACAGGGCTGTGAAAAATAGGCTATAAAAAGCCATAGAAATACATGATATTTGGTTTTTAGTTTCAGCTTATTTTATATTTTTATTCATAAGAAGATTATAAGATGTAACTAAATAGCCGCTTAACCTGATGTTGCTTACACATGTCGTGCTATTTCCAGAGGAATTAACTACTTACGAGTCTATATTGGCCCTATTTAGTAGAGTGGTAAGAAAAAAATTCCCTAAAAAGTTAAACAAACAAAAGAGAAGTACCGTTAAAAAGTTGTTCTGGTAAAACTTATGCATTTTAGTACCAATGGGTCACGTGGAAAAACGTAACAAGAAAAGCTAAACAAAGTGTCCTAAGAAGTTGTACAAACGAAAGAAAAGTAGTGTAAAAAATAAGTTGTCCTGATAAAACCTTATGTATTTTCAGTACAAACGAGGGCTACGTGGGAAAACATAAAAAAACTTAAAAAGTGTCCCATTTATATAGTTGGGTTATTATTATTTTTAACCATATATAAACAAGTTATCCTATACTCTTATAAAGGTAAACCTCACTAGAAATTTCTTTCAACATGCAAACTACTCATATCAATAATCCACTAGAACTTGTAATTATAGCCAACTAGTACATGTAATTATGATAGTTATCTCTTTATTTACTAACATGCATTTAGCTGTCCACATCTATGTGTCAAACCATTTATAAAATTAATTTAAGATAGTTTCATTCATATAACTATAAATATAAATAGTCTAATTTTCTTTTAAATTATCTAAAATCCCCGCAGGAACGCCACTATAATAAACCCTACCGATAGTAGAGGTCCATCCAATCATCCAAACACGACCCCGTGTCGCGCGAAGGCCTCGCTCCTCCCCTCCTATTTATTTCCGATCGCCAACGCCGATCCCCAAAACCCTCGACTCGCGTCGCCGCACACGTCGCTTCTCTCGGCTTCCCATTGCTTGCTCCGGCAGGAAGGCAATTGGCCGGGCGCGGCATGGCACACAACCGCAAGACAATCCTCCTCGATGAGGGGTGGCCACATATGATGGCCGGCTTCGAAAAGCTCAAGCTCATCCTCGCCGGTGAACCCGGCGTCGCCTTCGCCTCCGACGAGTACATGCACCTCTACACGTACGTCGCTTGCTGCATTGGTTCTATCTGCGCTGCTCCCATAGTTGGTTTGGCCTGACTGTGTTAGTTTTAGGGGCTCGGTTTTAGGGTTTAATATTTATATATGATCATTCCTTCCGATCTCATCGGCTTCTCTGTTGCTTGATTTGATTGTGGTGTTTGCCAGCAGTACAATATACAATATGTGCACGCAGAAGCCTGCGAATGACTACTCGGCCCAGCTCTACGAAAGGTACAAGGAGCTTTTGGACGGCTATATCACTGCCACTGTACGTTCCCTCTACTTCTTTAGTCTCAATTTGGGGAAATTGTTTATTTATTTTCTTTCAATGTATTCAGATATCATCACTTAGCAGATCTGTTATTATATATATAAATAAAATTATGGACGGTTAGTTGTTTTTTTTTGTAATAACTGTATGCTCGAGTTTAGATCGTCCAAGTAGTTGTGGTTTTAATTAAAATGTATTCTTATGCATATTTAGTGGTTATATATGAAATTCAGATCGGTCTTCTAGTTCTGTATTTTTTTCTAAAAAAAATCGATATTGCAAGCCAAGGTTAGCCGTGTGTATCGTGTCGTCTTATAGATTAATTGTTCCCGTCGTCTATGGTTGATGAGTTGTTTTATCTTGATAAGCTTGATTGTTTGCTCATGTGAAACCTTCTTTGTGGCATTGATTAATTTTTTTTTCTTTTGTGATCGAGCATGTAGGTGCTGCCGTCCTTGCAGGACAAGCACGGTGAGTTCCTGCTGAAGGAACTGGTGTTCAGGTGGAAAAACCATAAGCTAATGGTCAGGTGGCTCAGCAGGTTTTTCTACTACCTTGACCGCTACTTTATTACACGGAGGTCACTCATGCCCCTTAAAAATGTTGGTTGGGATTCCTTCAAAACACGGGTAGGGTCTTTGTTCCCACTTGATGGTTTTTATTTGTGTACTAAGTCTGAACAAGCTTGTTAGTTGCTTTCGTGAGTTTGAATTCATGCCTTTGTGACAGGTTTTTGACAACCATAAAAGCAACAGTGACATCGATTCTGATTGCCATGGTTAGTCTTGCAATTTTCTGCTTCTTGTGTCACAATTTATAGAGGTGGTTTGATAAAAATAGCCCTGTTCTGCTGGTGGTATTTCGGCTGATTTAATAGTGCTTCTGTGAGGGAGAATAAGCCGAAATAAACACAAGCCGGCTGAAAACTAGATGAGCAGAACATGGTGAATATTTCTTTGTTGTGGAATTCCTTGATTTGACAGGTTGATGAGGATAGGGAAGGACAGATTATAGATCGTACTCTTGTCAAGAATGTTCTTGGATGATGTTGACTATCTTATAGAAGAGCTTTGCTACTACTATGTCCAATAAAGTTAAACATGCTCATCTATATTTCATGCATCATGATCATTACATGTCATCTCTCCGATGTACCTATGCATTAGCACTTATACATCTGCATCATAAAGGATCGTAGGAGGAGTTGCTAGTAGCAGTTCAGGAAGAGCAGACCGGGACAGATCCACAAGAAGTCCAGCCACAGGAGGTGCCAGAGGAAGAGGAGCTGGGAGAGGATTTGCCCGAGTGCGTGGATCATCATCCTAGTTCGTTCGAACGAGGCAAGCCCCGAAGCATTCTAAGTCTCCTAATTTACAAAAACAATTCTTTTATATATATATATGAGTTATATATTATTGCATTAAGTTGTAGGAATTGATTGAAACCGTTGATGCATTTATTACTATCCTTGCCTACCTTATTACCTTTTACCCTGTTAGGTCAGGATCGAATAACTGCTTAGCCTTGCTTAGACCGGTAGCGATCGGTGATATCCGGTCACCTATATTATAGGTGGTTACTGGAAGAATTTAGCTATGGAAAGAATGATATCCTGTGATTAACTATATGTGATGGAAAATTGGAGACCATACGAAAAAGTTGGAGGCAACCAGACAGGGTTCTGGGTGCTGTTAGTTTCCGTCTGTGTCGATTAAGGACCGATCGTTGCTCGTCCCTCTTGTCATGTAGAACGCATGCCTCACATTTAGCTGGCCGAATAAAGTACCTTTCGACCGCGAAGCTAGTGGCACCTTTCGGGCCAGGATCTACATGAGTGCGTGTATTGGTGCTGATGGGGGTATGACAGGGGCGCAAAGAGTGAGCCAAAGGGCAGGTGCGACCTGATTCCTGGCAGTCGGGCGGTCCCTTGGTACTACGGCTCCAGATTGTCCCGCGGCTACCTGAAAAGTGTCATTGGTGATCTATAGCTCACTTGATCGGTGAGTGTGGTTTGTGTGAGGAATAAATCACCAGCTGGTTAGGAATCGATTCGAATCACCATCGCTCCTGGATAGTGAGCACTTGACTCGAGCTACGGCATCGTAGTAATTATGATGGAACACTAATGGTGATCTGGATGATATGGACATGCTAAAGTTAAATTGGTAACTGGATGTTATTGGTTAATCAAGTGATTGCTATAGTACAGGTGCTTACCTAGATGAATAGGTTACAATAAAGATGATGCAAAGTATTTAAAATGATGTCTTCATGATAACTTACGCTTTTCGCAAACAAGTCAGCTAGCCCACTAAAGAAAGCCTTGCATAATCCTTGGTGTCGCTTTATTTTGGTTTAAGACGGGTAAGTCTAGCTGAGTACCTTCTCGTACTCAGGGCGTTGTTCTCATTGTTGTTGCAGATGGTCAAATGTACTACGGCTATTGCATTAACTGCCTGTACCCGGTGAAGGGTGACAACTAGGACAAGGGCAATGGTCACTCCGTATCTCTCATCTGATGCTTTTATTGGAGATGACTACCTACTAGCATTGTATCTGAACTAAAAGTGTGTGTGTGGCTTCAAAACTATTTGCTTCCGCTATTTCAGTTTGAACTTGGATTGTAATAACTTTATGTTTTAAACTCTGATGTACCCAACTGTGATTGCGAACTTTATGTAACGTGTGACGGTACTTGCTAAACTTGTACGATCTTGGTTTGAATGTCGATTGGTTTGAAATCATTCGTGGTTTCACAGACTACCGGGTTATACGGGCTTAAGTTTGCTAAATTATCTGCTTCGGCGGAAGATTTTCTTACTTAATCTCGTATAATTGGTCGGTTCTGTTACAGCTGGTATCAGAGCAAGGTTTAGCAGGTTACTGTTCAAGCGTGTATTTAAAACAAACGGGTTTTTGTGTTACAAAACTAATTACGAACTTATAGTATATAGGTGTTTCAACCTCTAATTTAAAACTTAAGAGTGTGCTAGTGGTCATGTCCTGTATGCCCAGTTAAGGACTCTAGGTGGCTTATTTAAGTACTAACTTGGGGGTCTTTGCATCATATTTCTATTTCATCACTCATACGGCGTGCTATTGTATAAGTGCCATTCACTTGAGTGGTAATGTATGGATCCATGCCTCTACGCCTCGGTAAGTGAGAGTTGTGAGAGCATGATCGGATACACTGCCGATCTAGGGAAGTGCTTGTATGATGCCGGATTATTTACATGCCATACGCGTGTTGTATGAAGGTATCCAATGTGTGGGGAATTTCGTCCTGTGGTGACAATGCCGTCGATAGGACGAGGGTTCGGGTAGTTGCTATCGTTGTACGCGTATCTGGGGATGCGTGTAGAATGAGTAGATTACTTTACTACTTTCATGCATATTTTTCATACTGTCAGGGTTTGGGCTGAAGTAGATCTTTTGCAGGTACATAACAACACTTTAGTGTAGTACGTATTAGCTACGTTTATGAGAGACCGTTGTATGCCACCGTCTATGCCGCTAGCAATGGTTATTTTTCCTAAGTTTGTGAGAACGTACAGAACGTGCATGCATCATGTTGTTACATATCATTCATGGCATTGTTCCTCCCCTTATAAGTTGATCATCTCCTTTTGATAAAAATGACAACTTAACCTTGTTCTCACGTGGGTAATAAAACAACAATTTGCTATAGATGGCCCGCACGAAGCAGACTGCCCGTAAGTCCACCGGAGGAAGAGCACCTCGACGTCCATTGTCCCTGAGGGAGCACCGCACCACGGACACCTTCTTGAGCGAGTTTGGCATGCCGACCTTGCTTTGGAGAGTGCTCCATGATGTGGGGTACCCAGAGGGTCAAGAGCCGGTGTACTCTTGGAATGAGAGCCAGTTAGCTGAGGATGGACTTGCAGTAGTAGAGATCACTGTTTCTGCTCTTGGTGATGCTCCAGAGTAGGATGGTTGGCACTTGGAGTTTGAGGGTCGCACTCCTGGTGAGGGTGCAGAGGGAGCAGCTTTCTGCGTCATCAGGGACATCATGAGCAGATTTCCCAGTGAGCTTGCAGCAGCTCTAGCTGGCACCTTCCCTAGGGATGATCCTCGTGAGGCTATTTAGGTTCAGCCTCAGGGAAGTGCTTTGGTCAGAGGTCCAGCTGAGGGACAGGCTAGCGACAACCATGTTATGAGTGCTATGTTTGCCGCTATCAGAGCGTATCAGGGTCTTGAGTGTACCTATTGGACTTTGACGGGCTTGCGTGGTGAGGATAAGCTCAAGGTAAGAAAGCAAAAGGAGAAGCAGGCACGTGCTATAGCTAGTTTGCAGGAGCAGTTGGCTGATATGAGCTTACAGTGGGACCAGGCGGTAGAGAGAGGTAATAGAGCTATGCAGCGGGTGCATACGTTAACTCAGGCCAACAACAATGCAGACCGTATGATTGGACAGTTGATTCAGGAAAGGAATGAAGCCTGGAACGAAAGGGACCTTCTGCTGCAGAGGGTCGATGAGCTAGAGGAGTACAACATCAACCTGCACGAGGAGTTTCACGCGCTCTACAATGGGGTTGGCCCATATGCTCCTCCAGACGTCGCTGGCATGGACATCGACGATGAGGATGAGCCTGTAGTTTCACCTGGGGGCGATAGTGACGTCTCTGACCCCGACGACGGCCCCGAGGAGTAGGCTAGTTGCCTTGCGCTAGTGTTTAGGTCCTGTCGCGATGACCTTTCTTTTGTCTGGCATGTAATAATGAGGAGAAAGACTAAGACCTTGATGTAATGTTGGAAAACTTGGATGTGTTGTGGTGATATCTGAACATCAAAAGTCCAGTGTATGTATGCTGGCAATTTGGTTGTATTGGATGTGATGTGTGTGCTTAAGTAATCTAATTAGTGATGTTGTGTTAGTTGGAATGACTTATTGTACCCCTGTTTTATTGTATGAATTTATTCTCTCTAATGAATTCAGTACGGCATAATTTTTCATTCACTTGCGATCTCTACAACGTCGCCTAATAATTACCTAATAATTACGGTTGCTGAAATATGTAGATGCCGAACACTCGCCATACCGTGTATGATGCTGCTGAGGCAGGTGGCAGTGCAGCTGGGAATGAGAACCGTGAACCGCCACCACCTCCTCCTCCACCATACACCGCAAAATAGTTCTTCGCACAGTTCCTTGGAAGTCAACGCAACATGGAGGGCATGCAGCAGAACATGGAACCTACATTGCATCATATTGCTGACAACACTTGTCGTGGGTTAAACCTAGGTGGACATGAAGCGAATCAGCATAGCAGTTTCAAGGACTTTATGGACACCAGACCACCAATTTTCAAAGAAGCTGCAGAGCCATTGGATGCAGAAGAGTGGATAAACACCATGGAAGATAAGTTTCATGTTCTCAGGATGATGTAAGTATTGGCGAGTATGCAACTCATCGGTTGCAAGGCCCTCTGGGAATGTGGTGGAAGCACCACCGCACCACTTTTCCCCCAATGCCCACATTACTTGGAGGAATTCATCGAGGCTTTTCGTGGAGTTTACATTCCACCGGTTTGTGAAATGAAGTTTGGAGAATTTCTAGCACTGACCCAAGGCACCAAGACTGTGACCCAGTATCTACATGCATTCAATAATCTAAGTCGTTATGCCTCTGACATGGTGAATATCGATGCCAAAAAGATCGCTAGTTTCAAGAGAGGTTTGAATCCCAAGATGATGAAGCACGTGGGTACCAACACAAGAACTAGTTTCAATGACTTTGTTAGTGACTGCTTAAAGCAAGAAAAGAACAACAATGTATATGCTACTTCCAAGACTCGCAAGAGGGCTTTTGAATCAGATCCGTCCTAGTCAAGGGCCTCAATGGCCAATCGTTCTGCGTATCATTCGCCTGCCCCTGGTGCAAGGTTCAGGCCACCACAGCAGAGAAATCAGAATGCCCAGCAACCTCAGAGGAATCAGAAGCCATTCAAGATGGCGGTGCCACAAGCCAAGACCGAACAAGGCAGTTCATCTGGAGCTGCTACTCAAGTAAGAGGACCGTGTTACA